CTACCAACATACGGTTGTACCAGTATCCAGCTTCATTAACCCAGTCACTATAGCTAACTACATGTACATACGTTTGTACCAGTATCCAGCTTCATTAATATAACCCAGTCACCACCTACAGACGGTTGTACAATCATACAGCTTCATTAATCCAGTCACTACCTACATACGTTGTACAATTTTCCAGCTTAATTCATCCAGTCGCTACCAACATACGGTTGTACCAGTATCCAGCTTCATTAACCCAGTCACTATAGCTACCTACATGTACATACGTTTGTACCAGTATCCAGCTTCATTAATATAACCCAGTCACTACCTACATACGGTTGTACAATTATACAGCTTCATTAATCCAGTCACTACCTACAAACGGTTGTACAATTATCCAGCTTCATTAACCCAGTCACTACCTTCATACGGTTGTATCATTATCCAGCTTCACTAAGCCAGTCACTACCTACACACGGTTTTAGCATTATCTAGCTTCATTAACCCAGTCACTACCTTCATACGGTTGTATCATTATCCAGATTCACTAATCCAGTCACTACCTACTTACGATTGGCCCATTATCAAGCTTCACTAATCCAGTCACTAGCTACATACGGTTGTATCATTATCCTGCTTCTTTAATCCAGTCACTACCTACATACGGTTGTACCATTATCCAGCTTCATTTACCCAGTCGCTACCTACATACGGTTGTACCAGTACCCAGCTTCATTAACCCAGTCACTACCTACATTCGGTTGTACCAGTACCCAGCTTCATTCATCCATTCACTACCTACATACGGTTGTATCATTATCCAGCTTCATTTACCCAGTCACTACCTACATACGGTTGTACCAGTACCCAGCTTCATTAACCCAGTCACTACCTACATTCGGTTGTACCAGTACCCAGCTTCACTAATCCAGTTACTACCTACATACGGTTGTACCATTTTCCAGTTTTACTAATCCAGTCACTACCTACATACGGTTGTACCATTATCCAGCTGCACTATTCCAGTCACTACTTACATACGGTTGTATCATTATCCAGCTACACTAATCCAGTCACTACCAACATACGGTTGTACCAGTACCCAGCTTCATTAACCCAGTCACTACCTACATACGGTTGTATCATTATCCAGCTTCACTAATCCATTCACTACCTGCTTACGGTTGTACAATTATCCAGCTTCACTAATCCATTCACTACCTACATACGGTTGTATCATTATCCGGCTTCACTAATCCAGTCACTACCTACATACGGTTGTATCATTATCCAGCTTCACTAATCCAGTCACTATCTACTTACGATTGTACCAGTACCCAGCTTCATTCATCCAGTCAATACCTACATACGGTTGTAACATTATCCAGCTTTACTAATCTAGTCACTACCTACATAGGGTTGTCCCATTATCCAGCTACACTAATCCAGTCACTACCTACATACGGTTGTACCATTATCCAGCTTCACTAATCCAGTCACTTTACATACGGTTGTATCATTATCCAGCTTCACTAGTCCAGTCACTACCAACATACGGTTGTATCATTATCCTCCTTCATTAACCCAGTCACTACCTACAGACGGTTGTACCATTATCCAACTTCATTAACCCAGTCACTACCTACATTCGGTTGTACCATTATCCAGTTTCATTAATCCAGTCACAACCAACATACGTTGTACAATTATCCAGCTTCACTAATCCATTCACTACCTACATACGGTTGTATCATTATCCAGCTTCTCTAATCCAGTCACTACCTACATACGGTTGTATCATTACCCAGCTTCATTAACCCAGTCACTACCTACATACGATTGTATCATTATCCACCTTCATTAATCCAGTCACTACCTACATACGGTTGTACAAGTATCCAGCTTCACTAATCCAGTCACTACCAACATACTGTTGTATCATTATCCAGCCTCACTAATCCAGTCACTAGCTACATACGGTTGTATCATTATCCAGCTTCACTAATCCAGTCACTACCAACATACGGTTGTATCATTATCCTCCTTCATTAACCCAGTCACTACCTACAGACGGTTGTACCATTATCCAACTTCATTCACCCAGTCACTACCTACATTCGGTTGTACCATTGTCCAGTTTCATTAATCCAGTCACTACCAACATACGGTTGTACAAGTATCCAGCTTCACTAATCCAGTCACTACCAACATACTGTTGTATCATTATCAAGCTTCACTAATCCAGTCACTAGCTACATACGGTTGTATCATTATCCAGCTTCATTTACCCAGTCACTACCTACATACGGTTGTACCATTATCAAGCTTCACTAACCCAGCCACTGCCTACATACAGTTGTACCATTATCCAGCTTCATTAATCCAGTCACTACCAACATACGGTTGTACCATTATCCAGCTTCACTAATCCAGCCACTGCCTACATACGGTTGTACCATTATCCAGCTTCACTAATCCAGCCACTGCCTACATACAGTTGTACCATTATCCAGCTTCATTAATCCAGTCACTACCAACATACGGTTGTACCAGTACACAGCTTCATTAATCCAGTCACTACCCTACCTACATACGGTTGTACCAGTACCCAGCTTCATTAATCCAGTCACTCCCAACATACGGTTGTACCATTACCCAGCTTCACTAATCCAGTCACTATCTGCATACGGTTGTACCATTATCCAGCTTCATTAACCCAGTCACTACCTACAAACGGTTGTACCAGTACCCAGCTTCATTAATCCAGTCACTACCAACATACGGTTGTACCATTATCCAGCTTCACTAATCCAGTCACTACCTACTTACGGTTGTACAATTATCCAGCTTCACTAATCCAGTCACTACCTACATACGGTTGTACCATTATCCAGATTCACTAATCCAGTCACTTTACATACGGTTGTATCATATCCAGCTTCACTAATCCAGTCACTACCTACTTACGGTTGTACAATTATTCAGCTTCACCAATCCAGTCACTACCTACATACGGTTGTACCATTATCCAGATTCACTAATCCAGTCACTTTACATACGGTTGTATCATTATCCAGCTTCACTAATCCAGTCACTACCTACTTACGGTTGTACAATTATTCAGCTTCACTAATCCAGTCACTACCTACATACGGTTGTACCATTATCCAGCTTCATCAATCCATTTACCAATTACATACGGTTGTTTTTCACTTATCCAGCCTCATTAATCAATTCACCGCTTAGCCAATATTTCCGTTATCCAGCAATGTTTTTTTTATTGGAAAGAATATTCCGGGGTTGAAGGAAAAGATTGTCTATTTGATATAAATAAGACACACTTGAATGTTTGTATGATACCCTCTATTCGTATCCGCTATAAAACCCGATATGAAGTCATGCTGTTATGATTGTATGCTAGCAACAACTGAGATACGCGAATATAAAACATAAAAATATCTGTGTTTGAAATGCAACGGGAACAAAACAAAAACAAAATCCAAAAACAGCGTTTCATTTGTTAAGAACGTAAATTTACGGTATGAAATTAATATTCTGTTCATTTATAATAGCATACCACTTAGTTGTTTACAATTACAGTCTTCGTTTTGAACTGCCGTATATACAATGTATCTTGATGTTGTACAGGACACACGTAGAGTTTACTTATGAAGGGGTTTACGTCTTCGCAACAGCTTAAGGTCATCGGGTCACATGAAGATCGGTGCCTAGGGAGACGCTTACCAAAAATCAGGAAGAAAAGAGAAATCAGAGAGTCTAAGGATTGTAAGGTTCAAGTTCAAGTTCTTTATTTGCTGAAGTTTTACAACTTATGGCAATTACAGATAAGACAAAGACACTCACAAGGACACACTCACACTGACTCGGAAACATCATCCTCGTCATCTTCATCATCCTCATCTTCTTCTTCATCATCATCATCATCATCATCATCATCATCATCATCATCATCATCATCATCATCATCATCATCATCATCATCATCATCATCATCATCATCATCATATCATTACATCATCATCATCATCATCATCATCATCATCATCATCACATCATTACATCATCATTATCATCATCATTTCAGTTTCCTCAAAGTCTTCGTAGCAGGAAACACAGAAAGCCCCAAATAAGCATGGGGCCCCACATTAATCATTTCCTATGTTAGAATGCATAGAGTACGACGGGCCCATTTTCCCCGAACATGCAAATAATTTCCATGATAGTTTTTTGCATACTAGTTGAATATATAAATGTGATGGGTTTTTTCTCCGGGAACTCCGACTTTCCTCCACCTGCAAAACCTGGCGCGTGCTTAAAGACCATAGCTGTCAATAGGACCTGAAACACAAACCGAGTACTTCATTTCTTTGTTGAACCATTGTTCTGTTGAACCATTGTTTTGTTGAACCATTGTTTTGTTGAACCATTGTTTGTTGAACCATTGTTTTTTTGAACCATTGTTTGTTGAACCATTGTTTGTTGAACCATTGTTTTGCCCCTGTCCATGTTGTGTAATACACTACTGATTTTATCTGTCAAGGAGGTTTGGCGGACGTATACAAAACATATATTTACCTATAGTTACAAAAACGAAAGACAGTCTCCTTTCTTTGGTTCAGGAAATTATTTATGATATTCTGAATATGATTTATATGATGTAGTTAAATTTAAACCAATAAAGTTACATGTTTTAATGAGATCATTAATGTTTTGGGATTATATTAAGAAACAAGACACGTCAGATGTGACACTATAAATCGTGGTGTAGCGATTAGGCTGTATTTGTCTCTGTATGTAAATTAACAGTATTTTCTACACTAATAGTTAAACGATCCGGGCGGTAATTTCATTAATATTTACACTAATTATCATTACTCCATATATTAGCGAAGCCGAGGTGTATGATTGATGTCGGTAAATCACACCAAAATGACGGATCCGTCATCTCGCCGTCACCCCGCCATTCCGCTCCGTGTTTTACACACATCACGACGTTACGTCAAATACCGCAGGTCAGAGGTCACGGCAATCCTCGTGTAGATGAGCGATTCATTCGGAGACTGACATGCTCTACACCGATTTTAACACCGTCACATCAATTTGTGGTCGGTTACATGCAGTTCCTGGTAAGTCAGTTACAATGCCGTCATAAATACATCACCGTTTACGGGCTAGGTCCCGCGCTGTCTACGGCCTCTACATATATATACAGTGACCTTTCTCTGATACTACTCAGTGAACGACGTAACTCTCAACTAATTACAGGTAGTGTTAAGTTTATTTGTTAATTACGTTCATCAAAGCCCTGTTATGTTGTTATGTACAACTTTATATTGTAATGACATCCGTACGATATTATTGGAATGTGCTTTCCATATTAATATCTGTTCTCGGGGTGATGTCGTAGGTCGAACGTCGACGTTGACGTATATTTGTAACAATAATTAAGGGAAAATTTAAGTGGCAGTAATCAGCGATCTGGTTGGGGTGGTCAGTTCGATTCCTGTGATTGGCATTGCATAAATAGTTGCAGCTAAAATATTTTGAATGCTGGGTTTTGTCATAAATGTAATTTACGTAACACGATGTACTTTATATGGAGGATTATAGAATTGTATGTCGAACCAACTTGTGATCATTTTTTTTGTGCTATAATGACAAACATACTGTATGTTTAAACGTTAATAGAAAGGAAAGCGTTAAATGAGCCGCTCCTTGCTTTTTTCAATTTAATGATAATAAATACTGTTGTTAAACCATGAAATGTAAACGTTATAATTATATATTACGAGGTAACTCATCAATGTGAAACACCGGTATTGTAAAACCATGTAGGCATTACAACTATCGTACCTGTAATAAAGATGTGTGGGTACAACAACCGTTCCTTAATGAAAGCAGAACAAACAGATACATATATATATAGCCAGCATTGACAACATGTACAAATGTAAGAATTCCTGGTACCCACTTTGTAACACATTTTCCTTAATATCGTCGTGCATTTACATAGAGGCCGAAGATTCTTTTAATTCATTTTTACTAAATTGGAACATATACGTCATCATAGTAATAAAACAAGTAAATAATTTTCATTTCGATCGATGCAGGCTTATTTCATTTTTTTCAAACTTGAGGCCTCGAGTTCATTACATGTGTAGTACTGAGTTATTTGAAGGACATCAAAACATCTAAAATAACCGAAATTCTAACGGTTGTCGTAAAAAACGCAAGAGATAGTCTTGATGATTTCGTTTTAGTCAGGTAGGATTGCATATTGCATATCCTTTTTTATTCTTTCTTCTTCTTCTTCTTCTTCTTCTTCTTCTTCTTCTTCTTCTTCTTCTTCTTCTTCTTCTTCTTCTTCTTCTTCTTCTTCTTCTTCTTGTGTGTGTGTGTGTTCTTTAAGCGTCGTTATACATGTATACTATACATATAGCGGATCAGTTTCTTCATGCAAAATTATTCTACTTCAATAAAATGCTATGCGCATTCAATATATGAAAATACCCGGGGGGAAATTCTTCGGTATTTTCATTTGTTGAGTCGCTTAACTACAAACAGCCGCAAAACAAATATAAACGTCACGTGACCACAATCTCTCGATCATAGCCTGGCGTGACAGGCGTCGTCTACCTACGTTAGCAGGTAAGTTCATTAACAAGTGCACGATTCGGTCCTTTTGGTTTGAATAAACTTCTGAAGGGGAATAACTCTAGTATGATCTACTGTACGGTGGCCTTTCTGTCAGACGACGTTAGAAATGGCGGTCCCGTGTTCCGAGTACGTACAATGTATATGTGAGGACCACACGGTAACATTATTACCTCCGATGAAATAAATTCACAATATGGAGAAGCAAATATTCTTATTTCTCGATCAACAATTAACTTTTTTCCCCAATTAAGTAGGAATGCGGTACAAAGACGACAAGGAGACACTTTGAAACAGTATTGACATCAAATGAAAGTGTGCCAAATGAAATCATGTTTACTTTTTGATGTTTACTATTTCTTTGTATCAATATACTCTCAATGGTCATTATGCATTACGGGCAAACACATCCTTTATACATGTTTAAAGGTACATCTAGCCGTTACAGGGGTATTTAATTTTCACTCGGTAATCACCCTATACAGCGATCCCGCCGTGCGCTTCTAAACAAAATACAAAAAGGTTCGTCTTCAACTAAAGTAAACGATTTTGGGTTTCTTAAGAGAGATGTATTCTTTCATGAGATGACGAAAAAATAATGAACGGCTATCATCGGCGTATAGGTATCTGACATTGGATCAGAACTATAGGAGATTATCAAAATGGACGCCAGAAAAAAACTAGTGGCTTGTTAGGAAATGAGGACAATAGGGTTGAACACTAACACTTATATATATACAAGTTAGAATGGCGGGTCCCTCTGAGTCACGGTTCTCGGTCTAGTATATCTTTATACAAGCGATATCGCAGATGTTGCCGGGACAGCCATCAACTTTATATTAGACCCGCAGGAGATAGGCGATAATATCATGTTTGTGTTTTCTGATTTAGGATTTAAAGTTTCCTTTATAAAATATAAAAAGTGTAAAATAAATGCGTATGATTGAGATGAAGGGATGTGGGAGGGGAGCAAGGCTGGTGTGTTAACGGTAAGTCGCATCAACCCTATTCCAGTGTTGCAATCAACGATAAAACAAGAGATACATTGTAACTGCCGTGAACCTTGCCGTAACCTCTGGTCCGCAGACTCACGGGTCGACCCTTATCGCCCTATTACATATGTCGGAGCCCATGTTCATTTCACCATCGTTGTAGCGCCACCTATCATCGGCAGGCTCAGATCCGCAATCTCTCCCTTAAGACAACATCGTTTTCTCGATACACAAACGCGAGGAACATGTGAAATATGCATTCGGCACATCCAAATTATTATCATCACAAGTCCATACGGGCATGTCACGTTAGACAAACACCGGATATGAGATCCTCCCAAATCTTACATCACATGCTTAACAATAATGTCTTTGATTAACAGCGTAGATATGTTGACACGTCTTTTGAATGTAGCAGCCCATGTCCAACTGATGGACGATGCATATACTGCTGCTTAATTATACTCCGCGAAACGTCTGTTACACAATGTAAATATACTTGTTATAGATATGTTATTCATTTAAATTTTCTTTCCCAAAGTTATTTGAATATCAGAAGAATTTCGATAGTTAATATCAAACTGAGTTAGCATGGCCACTCGTAAGCCACGAAATGACGTCACAATGAGGCATCATACAATAAAAAAAAAAGTTCGGAGTATATACGACTTTTCAAATTGCACGAAAATAAGTGATTTTCTATCAATATAAAATGGCATACGACACATTATTCCACTATTAACCCCTCATCATGTAATGTTAGCATAATTACCACTGTACCGCACCTCACCATGTAATGTTACCATGACTACCACTGTTGCCCACCTCACTATGTAGTGTAACCATGAACACCACTGTACCCCACCGCACCATGTAATGTAACCATGACCACCACTGTAGCCCACCTCACCATGTAGTAATACCATGACCACCACTGTACATCACCTCACCATGTAATGTTACCATGACCACCACTGTAGCCCACCGCACTATGTACTGTTACTATGAACACCACTGTAGCCCACCTCACCATGTAGTAATACCATGACCACCACTGTAGCCCACCTCACCATGTAGTGTTACCATGACCACCACTGTACATCACCTCACCATGTAGTGTTACCATGACCACCACTGTAGCCCACCTCCCCATGTAGTAATACCATGACCACCACTGTAGCCACCTCACCATGTATTGTTACCCTGACCACCACTGTAGCCCACCTCACCATGT